TTAATTTATTTATAAGTACCTTCTTCTGTTGTCTTCTCTGTTCTTTCCCCCTACTGCCCTGTGACACGGTTTTTGTTTGGGAATTAATTAATATAGAATTAGTCCCTTTTGGGCATCTTATGCGTTTTGTAATTAAATGAATGAACCTTTCTTCTTCGTAAATTGCCTTCGAGCATTCGTATGAACTCCGTTGTTTTCCTAGTTTTAAATTAGCAACCCTCCCATGGGAAAACGGTATATTTTTATTGTGCATATCGAATGAGAGAGGAAAACGTTAAAACCAAAATCGGATTTGCAAAATAACTGTTACAACGGAAGAGGGAACATAACAGCAGCTGTACAACTTTCATGTCGAAGTACACAATTTTCATTTCAGGATAAGTAGCAGGAAAACGTTGCGCATTAGTTTCTTTATTTGCCCACGGGAACTGCATGCATTCATACGATCCTCTTTGTGCCATTGTACCCGCGACGAACTCATTTAAAATGACACTTTCTGCAAACATGCCGTCCGCGCATTCTGCGAAATGAGACCTTTCAATTGCCATTCAACACGGAACTGCTTTTGCTTAGATTTTTTTCAAACCATCAGCGCGACGCCTGGTGGACCCCTAATGGTATTTTGGAGTAGATAAAAAAATCAGAAAATGCAAACCTGAAATATTAACGAAACGCCAGGAACCAGTGGCGATGCAAGATAGAGATGATCCTTACTGTGTTAGAACTGTTTATGGCGTGCTAACGAGATGCAGTGTGATCTAAACCTTGATCCACATCCGGTGGTTTGAACAGAATATTGATCGCCATGAACTTTATGACAATTTTGGAATCAAATAAAATAATTCGAAGTGGTCTGTATTCTGTCGAAACTGCCAGACGCGGATCGCGATTTCGATCTTTTTGGATCTCATCAGCGCGTCGCAGCTAACGTGCCTATCACGTTGAGGTTGGCTACGTCGGGATTCGTTTTCAGCAAGTAGATATTCACACAAGTGGACCTTGTTGGAGCATACGTAATCCTAAAATGTAGCATCGTGCTACAGATGGCGTTTACTGCGCCATTTGTGATATTTTCTAATTTTGGAATCGTCCGAAAATCAGTCAGAAAACTGTCACTAATGCATGTGAAAACGGTTTACGAAGAGACTTTGAGAAAATCGGAAAATTCTTCCCTTTTCGTTGCATTTGCCAGACTTAGTTTTGTGATCGATTCTGTCGAAGTGGCTCAAGGATCTAGTTCTCTTAAACTTTTCCATAATCGGAAAATAAGTAAAAATCATTCGAGTTTCCATTTAACCACGGATATTGAACACTCACTTGAGCGCCACAAAACATTCGAAATATTTCCTGACTCCCGACGCTACTTGCGACGATAGCACGTAAGGATTCCGAGCAAGGAGCGAATATGAGCCGATTGTTGAACGTAATACTACCTCCAAGGGACTCCGAAGGACAACATAATTTTACACTTTCTGACAGAATAAAATTGAAATCTTCACTTTATTGGCTTTGTCGACTGGTGGCTAAATAAATAATCGCTAATGCAGAACTACAGGGTGGTTTTAGGATAGTTGCATCTGGAGTTATGTAATAAAAAAAATTGATGAGTTAAAGAAATTTGGTAGGATTTTTAACGTAATACAGGGGTCTTCTTGTTAATGCAGAGTACAACATCGTCATAGCATCTAGATGTTCCCTGCAAACGATTATCTACTATTCTAGATAATTGTCCCTTCTTAATTCATGAATAAATAAATACTGGAGACCGCAAGTTTTGCCGTGTACAATGTACATGTCTGTTCCTTGTTTTATTGCATGCAATTCAACACTATAGAGCTGCTGGTGCTTGTACATACATTTGTACATATATGTATTTATCAGTGATTTAAACGCAGTCAGATAACTGGAGACGGTTTAGACGTCCTGGGGCCACCCCTGCGTCACCCCACGTCTATTGGTAAGGAAGAGGGCACGTCATCTAGAATACAAAAAGTAATTTGTTCGCAAAATGTCGTGTCTAATCAGGCCGAAACTAATTAAGGGGGTGACACAGCTAATTTATAGAAATCTTATGTTTAATTTTTCTAAATAGAATATAAATGGAAGAAATTCAGATAACTTAGAGACTGGGGTAATTTGGAACTCATATATGTTATATTTAAGTTTTGAGTTCAGTTTCTTAAACGAAAACAAAAATAATGTTTATTAAACATACTGCAAAACCCAAAGCTGTTATTTCCTGGATTATTAAATTAGATAATTTTTTCCTTTGTGTTGATTTTTAGAAGGCCGATTTGTTTCGGAGAGGCCCAACCCAAAATGCATAAAGAATAACTCCTTCAAGTTTTGTTATAGCTGTTTAAAAGGGTTGATGTTAACCCATTTATATTAACCTTTTATTTAATGAACCTGTTGCCAATGTTGAAAAACGTTTTGATTCTAATTGTTTATATTCATGCGTTTTAAAGCACTGACATCAGTGACAGCAATAATTAGATAGCAAGAGATAATTAAAAGATTTTTGCTGTACGTTTATTCGTATTGTCAATAGTCGGCCATTTTTATTGCTCCACTATGACGTAGCGTCGGCCATCATTCTTTTCTAATTGTTGCTGCTGTCGGCCATCATTCTTTTCTAATTGTTGCTGTTGTCGGCCATCATTCTTTTTCAATTGTTGCTGTTGTCGGCCATCATTCTTTTCTAATTGTTGCTGTTGTCGGCCATCATTCTTTTTCAATTGTTGTCGCATTGTCACTGATGTCGGCCATTATGGTTTTTTAATAGATGTATCTATAGTAATCAATGATTAAAATTTAAAGGAATTGTTTGTAAATAGGCATGCAAAACATCGTACACTTCAGCATAAGAAATTGCTGATACTAACTTTCATTTACTTAATACTATTTTGCCCTGTGCTGACAGCACTCATAATTTCTTTTATACATAATATTTGTAAATTTATGAAACATAAGAAGACTGACACATATTCGAATTGTTTCATTGTTGCTCACTCCTGGAAGCTCTTTTGTGTTCGAGTAAACTGTTGGTGATATCAGTTTCATTCTGGCGATAAGACAGAATGACATTGGGCGTGATATTGACCGGATATCGCGTTCGTCCCCCGTCTTATGTCTCATCGCAATAGCAATTGAGGCTGTTGCACCCTTCTCTCGACGGTCGAAGGGTCTGGAATGCTGTTAAGCAGAAAATATAGACAGGACAATGAAAGCGTTTGGCTTTTATTGTTATTTCGATGCGAGGATTTCATGCGAAAACTGAACCGATCGAATTTAGGGAAATATTTTCATATTCTTTTACTTTTTTCCCTAATTATTTCTGTTTTCTGTTTCAAAATGAAAGCAAATGGTCAAAATATACTGAGTACACCCTGTAAATACGAAGCATGTTGTAATAAAAAGCGATTGTCAAGTTGAAATGTTATAAAACACAATTATCTTTGGGCTCCAAATGACTCGGTAGTTGCATGTATACGTTAATTAAACAAAATAGCATTTTTTTCCGAAATTAGTAATTAACTTTCAAAAAAGTGAATCAATAAACCAACTACTGCCTCGTCGCAAAAAATCATTCCGTCGTTATTTGTATGTGCTAATTTCAAATTTATGATCATCGTAAATTTGTTCGTGTGCTTCGGGAACGGTAAAAAAGCTCATTTATGTACCCAAAGGTACATACTATTAGATATGTGTATGTAAGTGTCCGACGTGTAATAAACACTCACATGAATACATAATTTATGACGTGATGGGTCATGCTTCATGAAGCAAATGCATTTGCTCAAGTGTTGTAGTCAGTTTTGCTAACAGGACTTCAGGAACGTAGCTGGATATGCTTTAAGCTTTCTCTCTAGTGAGGGAGCTTTGGCGATCCTCTCGCAACAGTAGCGGGATGCATATAATTCCAAATAATTCTTCTTAAATTTTAAAATAACTGTTTAATATAATTGTCCAATTTCCTCAAAAAATCCTTTAAACGTCTTATTTAACAGAATCAATTTACTTACTAACTTTATTTTCTGTGGCTAATCTAATCAAATATTTTCTGCAATGATTGTAATTAAGTATGCTAATGAGTTACATATGATTTGCCCCATGTTTCATTTTGATCAGTTAAAAGGTACCCAAAGTAACATAGAAAATCACACGGTCAGAAATTTTCGAAACAAATTGAGAGAAAGATGATTCCAATGAAGATTATGCAATTACAAGATCTCAATCTGCTACCAATTTTCATAATTTATTCTGTTTAAAACAAATGGCAGCACGTAATTTTGAATTAATTAAGTAATTATGTACCCTAATTAATGTATAGTAACCTATTCTTCTTGATATTACGAATATTATCAAAAATATAAGAGTATAAGACTTCGGATCTCCAAGAACCTGGAGCTGTATGTAACGCTTTGTCGCTGTATTTTTGGAATTTTGAGCGCATTTCAGGCATTTGCACAGGTAGAAAATACTAAAAGATGTTTCAAAGTTTCATACTGCACACATTTTGCAACCCTTCAACCAATATTTTCCCTTAGAATTGTATTTATAGTGAAAAACTAGGCAAAATTGAAAAGTAGGGTTAATGTCATGACAGCAACAAACGCGCCGCCAGCAGAACAAGCGAATTTCGACCTTACCTCGCTACAGCGCGTTTTCCATTCTTTTCATGAATGAAGTATTTTACGTTTTGATTCATGTTTTACTATCGTAGTACTACAAAAACACGTGGATTTTCATTAAAGTAATCTCAGAGGTTATTGAACCCGACAAATTGAAAATATTGAGGAATCTGATTGTAATGCAGTAAGAATGCATAAAAAATATAAGTTATTGATAAAATGTAGGAGAAATAATAAGTATTTAGGTACAAAATAGTCCGTACATGGTTTTTCAGCTAAAATTGTTGCCGAAATTATGCATTTTAGTTATAAAATGTAATAAATAATGTGTTTAAATGTAATAAATAATGTTTATTTTTATTTCAGGTATATTCTATGAGATTCTATGTGCTGTTCGTCACGGTGGTAAGTTTATTAATGGTTATTCTTAGGGGTGGGTTGTTTTTTTTCATTTTTTACACATTTGAATAAATACAAATGCAAACTAAATTCACCACATATGTGATTTAAAATTCATTTTAATCCTTTTTTTCTAGTAACATTATATTTATTAATCAAGCCTTGTATGTATAATTTTAGGTATACATATACGTCGTCATTCAATTCGTACCAAGGTTCGTCAAGGTTAATCTGATTAATTAGGCGTTGGTCGCAATCTGATCGTGATGAGTAGTCGTAGTCCAGTCGATGAATGTTGTTGTTTTAACGTTTTATTGTGTTGTATGGAAAATGCGTGAAGAGAAATTCATTTTTGTGGGATAAACAGGGAATCAAGATAAGGTTTGTTTTAGCTAAAATATAGTTTGTACTAGACAGTAGTTTTTTTTTGGCAATCTTTACATTATTCCTTACATTTTTAGAAATCCTTACATTTTAATGACAATACACAAAGAATTTGCGGATGAGTTTTCCACTAGTAATTACTAATTATATTATGATAAACTAAATGAATTTGTATAATTTGTAGACGTAATTACTTCAGTTATTTGCATAAAAGGTAGGAGAATTAAAATGAAAGATATACTTCGAGTATTTTTGTAGCAGTAAATTGTTATATTTTTAAAATTTGAAAAACATTTTGAAAGAATATTTGTTATTACTCAATTTTTAATAGTAATTGTATGTTTTTGTGTTGAAACATGCATTAATTTTACATGGAGAATTAAGGGCAACAAACAAACTGTATATTTAAGGTAAGTTAGCATAGTAGTTGCAGGGTTTTTGGTAAATATTATTTATTTTACAAAATATTATTTGTTTGAGTACGGTTAGTTAGTCGGTAGTAGTAGCAATTAATATTTAAATTTTCTAAAAGAAAGTTATTTGGTTATTTCTGTCTTAAACAATATCTTCAAAAACACTTAGGCTTTTGTGTCTATAGGTATTAGTACTGAACTTTCAATATTTCTTTAAAAATTTTTAAACAATTTAAACATTTACCTAATCATATGCCATAATAATATTAATTTTAGTTTAGTTTTGATTGTCGCTTCATCGGGAATCTAAGCTGTAAGTTTTGGCATCCATTTTTTCTTTCTAATAATTCCTATTGGGAGGATAGATTTTTAATTGCACCCTGTATTCAAATGTTTCCATTTGTTTCTAGCGCAAGTCCATCAGACAATTCAATTATGATGATAAGAGTCAGTTCTGCTAACTATTTGTAAAATATTATCGTGTTTTGTACGAAGAGAGTGTGTATTAAAGTTCTATTTATTAAACGTTTTATTAGACAAAAATGGTTGAAATTCAAATTCGGGATTGTACTTTCGCTTGAAGTAAATTTGTATTGTCTTTAAATTATGGTAGGTAGGTACTATTGCAAATATTATTGTGTCACCTACAATTAAAAAAAATTTAACCTTTTGGAAACAAAAATATCTTTGGACACAGGGTCAGAAATTTTATTTTAGCAAATTCTGTGCACTGAAGACTGACGTGTGCTCTCATGGTTTAAAAAATAAAATTTGTAGGCAAAAGTTGAATTGTGTGAGCTTTGTTTAAATATTGAAACGTCTGAAGGTGATGTTAATTTTAATGGAATCGATAAAACATAATATTTTGACTAGTTATTTCAACACAAATAAGAAACGCATTTGTAATTTTTAGAAAAGCGGTCTGTACATTCCAATGCGCTTTCGCCGATAGTTGAAAAGAATTATTTTAACTTACATATAAAATGTATTTATTAAAATTATTTCTTTGTTACAGCATCCATTTTAAAAAAAGATTATTACGAGTATTTGTTTGGAGTATGGTACCAAACGTGAACAATGTGTGAGGCGAAAAAGTTGAAACGTCTAAGAGATCGATGGAAATATCATGGATAAGAAAAGGTTACAAATCAGGTGATTTTGGAAAAGCAAGAGAACAATGGGAGCTATGGAAATCGACAAGAAAAAAAAAGAGGAGATAAGATGGTACGACATCTTCTGAGACATGAAGTTGCAGCTACAGACTTATTATCAGCAGAAACTGGAGTAAAGAGGGGCAGAAGAAGACCTAGAAATAGAGGTGCATGCAGAACTAATGAACCTATGATGAGTACGAATTTCCACCATATGCTGGACTTCTACCATCTTCTACTGAAGTAGATGACTGGACCACTTTTACGTCTTCTCAAAGTTAATAAGTACGTACAATGTATATATACATATATATTATTTATGGATACATTCCTTCTTATCATTCTCATTATTTTGATACCTATTCACTTCGTAAGAATTTTTTCTTTGTTGTTCTTAATTATGAACCAGAATCAGTTTGTCAGCTTTTTTTTGTTACTTACATTTCTTTTTAGTGTTTTAGTTGTGTAGAGTTTCGTTTTAAGTTTTAACTAAAGCTTAAGTAGTTTATTTAATTTTTCACACTTGTCATTATTTTCAAATTTCTTTTTGTTAATTATTATTTAACTTCTTTTCTTATTATAGCTTCCATGGTGGTAACTGCATTCAAAAATTCGAGTACATTGTTGATGTTGGACTACTACCGTCTTCTATTCAAGTAAGAAAAATTAATCANGATACATATTCATATCTTTTTGGTTTTTCAAATTAAATTTACTTGAATTTTTATTCACTTATAGCATTTGAAATTTTATAATAAACTTTCATATTGTCAACTACAAAAATATATCAGTATCAGTTTTGTAAACTTTATATTTTACTTACCTTCTTTTTAAGTGTTTTAATTGTGTAGGATTTTGTATGTATTTATTTACTTTCAGTTTATTTTCTTTACATTTATTTAAGTTTAGCTCAAGTTAAAGTGATTTGCCTAATGTTTGAAATTCAAAATTGTCTTTGTTGATTGTGTATTAAAGGGATTTTTTTCTTTTTCCATTACAGCTTCCAGGGTGGCAACTACATTCTAAAATACGAATATGTCCCTGATGCTGGACTACTACCATCTTCTACTGGAGTAAGAAAAATGGACCAGTTCTTCATAAGACCATTTCTTCAATTGGGCACATAATTTTTTAATCAAAAGTGGATTTATTGAGACAATTTTCTATTTTAACTAAAATTTGTATCAGTTTATTGTTTGTTTATCTTATTTTAATTGAATGTAAGTTTATAGTGCAAACC